TTTAGAATGGATACCTTTTGAGCAATTTGATGATATAACAAAGTTGACAGAAGGTGGATTTAGTTCAATTTATACTGCTACATGGACAAGGGGAAGAATAATTGATTACAATGAAAATAAAAAGGAATTTAGTTATTTTGGAAGGCAAGGAATAGTATTAAAAAGTTTAAATAATTCAAGTAATCCAGGAAAAGCATTTTTTGATGAAGTTGGTAGTTTTATTTAAATCAAAAATAAATACTATTATATAATACTAATTGATTTTATATTCAATTACAGGCAATAAATTATTGTAAAATTAAATCACCACTGATTGTTGAATGCTATGGTATAACTAAATTCCCAGATAATGGAAATTATGCAATTATTTTTGAATATTATCAAGAGGGAAATTTAAGGGACTATTTACAAAAAAATCATTCTAATTTAACATTAAAAAATAGAATTACAATCTTTGAATGTTTATGTAATGCATTATATGATATACATGAAAAAGATTTGATTCATTGTGATCTGCATAGTGGCAATATATTGTTGTATGGAGGTTATTGTTATATTACAGATTTAGGATTATGTGGACCAGTTGATGAAAAATCATCAAATAAAATCTATGGAATTATATCATATATTGCACCTGAACTATTTAATGGAAATAAGAATACAAAAGAATCAGATATTTATAGCATTGGGATGTTGATGTGGGAAATATTTGCAGGCCATCCACCATTCGATGATAGAGCTCATAATCATGACTTAATGTTTAATATATTTGCAGGTTTACGACCACCAATATTACCAGGAATGCCCGATGATTATGCACAAATGATGCAAAAGTGTTGGAATGTGAATCCAACTAAGAGACCAACTATTAAAGAACTTTGGATATTTGCTGAAATCAAGTTTAAAACTAAAAGTCTTTATGAAAATGGTGGTAGCAGTAGAGGCAATAGTAGGAATAATAATAATAATAATAATAATAATAATAATAATAATAATAATAATAATAATTCATGGAAACCTCACAAATCACACCCATTAGCATATCATGCAAGTAGAATATTAAATGATGAATTTTTTTTAAAGTAATGATAGCTTATTAAGTAATATTGACGTTAAATGATATTTATTTTATTTCTAAATAAAAAAAAAACGATACAAATTACAACTATAGAAGGCAATTAAATAGGAAGCATAGATTCTATTTAAAGTAGTTTGAAGAATCAGAGTTATAAGAAGTGTGTTTAAAGCATTTGAAAAAAAAGCATAGTGAACCAATGCTATAAATTAAATTTATATATAACGCTTATGCTTTGGAAACTATTTTATATTTCTAAATGGTATAATGACGAATAAGTTTTAATAATTTTTAATTAGACAAGAAACCGTACACAAACTTTTTCCTATTTTTCATTCAATGCATCTAATTTAAATTTGTCGTGGGGATTAGCAGATAAATTTGTCCCAAGTTTTTATTTTGCTACTATCCATTTTTCAATTCTAACTTGTGTGTGTGTTTATATGATACCATCAATCATTTTCTTTTCATTGAAGCTAATTTATGGGTGTTATGTTCACTTTGTCTGGTTTTGTTGCAACATGTCCATATACAACATAATATTAGCTCTTTGCTTTCTTTAGATAATAATAATAAAATTGAAAGAAGATTTGCATTGTCGAATTTCATGTCATGTGGTGGATAGTAATAGTGTTGGTTTCCAAAACAATAGAGTTTCGCAACTGTGCAAAAGTCAAAAGAATTTAATCTTAAGTTGAAACTAGTTTTGACACATAACTTTTTATTTCAGTTTTTACTTTCGTCACTACAAAAAAAATTGATATTTGAAAATGCTCTTAAAACATACTTCAAGTATGTTTTATGCAACCTTTAAGTATATTTCAAGTACAGTCAGTATATTCTAAGTATGTTGAAAAGACATCTCTGTAAATGACTAGGCTTTCAGCAAGCTTTCAATTGTTAGAATCCAGGAATCTAGTTAGTATGCTTTTTTTTTTTGATGTATTCATTTAATCTCGGATATTTGATTACTATATGCAAGCCACGTGATAAACGTGAATATCTTTTACCTGTAGTTGTATATACGCAATTTATACCTTCTCTTTTTTCAAAATGGCTTCTTAAAGTTTCGTTTTTACATGGTCTTAGTATTGTTATTACTTGGGTGGATAATGCTATTTATTTATTTTTATCTGTTCGATGCAAATAAAAAGTAGAAAATTAAAGGTCACCCCAACATAAAATTATTGCCTTGATATTCAGCAAAATGGAGGATAAATATACAATTTTATATTCTCTTCGTGCTCGTAGTACAACATCATTGCTTAATTCTATTTCTGTTGTTTGTTTTGTATTAGCTGTTCTTGATTAATAACATTTTTTTTATTATTATGTTTCTTTACAATATTTCTTGCGCTTACGATTTGGATTTTATCATCATCAATAAACTGGACAAAATCTGGATCATGGACTCATTCCAAATATTTTCTTTTACTCTCATAATTTCTAACCGCTAGTAGCAGCAGTTTTATCTTTGCGAATGGAGTTTACAATAATTAATTTGCTATATAATTAAATCTTCCTTCAAAGCCAATAATAATTATTTGGGAAGGATTTCGTGTCAATCCCATCACATCGAGGACTTTTTTGATCACAAACAAAAATTAAGATAATTCAGTTAAAGCATTAATTATACGTGCATATAGAGTTTTTTTTATTTGAAATTCACAGGAAATAATATATATCAAGTTAAAGAATTAAGCAGATGAAATGACAATAGACGATATTTAATTGTAGATAGATCTTTCGAGTTCAATTAAGGTGGTGGATTAAAAAATATTAATAGCACCAAAGGAGGTGCCGGAGTCGCATTGGATTTGTTGAAGAAATGTTGTATATACGTGAAAAATGAAATTATGTGAATTCACAATTCATACGTATGTGAAATTCAAATTAGCCAATCAGAATTTCACACCGCTCCATAATATTTCCATTTCACATACAACAAAACCAAATAAAGACAAGCCATCTACAAGGATGAAGAACCCGCCATTTTTTTTTTGCATAAGTTTCTTGGGAAAAAACATCATCATATAGAAAATTAATCCAAAATTAATCTCTAGTCTGGGATTTTGGCGAGAAGACCATTTATAAATATTTTGTTTATAATGTGAATGTCAAAAGGATAACCGTAGTTTCAAGGAAGAATAAAGCTGGTACGATGATTTTTTGGTTCGCCCATTTTAGCTTTATAATGCAAAGCATCAAATATCATCGTGCAGAGGAAACTGAAACGATAGTAAAAGTCAAGTTTTAGATGAAATATCGCCTTTTGTTAATTAATCAATTCAAAAGTTTATTTATTTACTACTGTATGTTCTTTATTAGAGGTTTGTTGCACATTTGAGTAACAAGAAATGAAGCACACCCCATATATTAATATTTATTCTAAATTTATTATGATATTAAAATTAATATTTACAAATTAATATTATATTATTGATTATATTAAATTATTATTGGTTATTATATATTAAATTATTATTGATTATTATATATTAAATTATTATATATTATACTCTTATTGATATTATATATTATATTATTAAATACTAAAAAATACTAATTACTAAATATTATTTTCATCTCAAACACTCAAATGTTTCTTAAATTTACCAATTACACCTTTTCTTTTTTCAAGTCCAATGGTAGTCCAGCCACCACCATAATCATGACCAGGAAACACAACGACTCGATCATCTAATCTAGCCAACCTTTCTCTCAAAGTTTTTTTCATCTCTCGTTGATCACCACCGGGCAAATCAACCCTTCCACTACATCCACACATAATAACATCACCTGTGAACAATCTTGTCTCATTCACCAACACAGATTGACTTCCCTCGGTATGGCCTGGAGTATGCAGGAATTTTAACAGTGTCGATTTACCTAATCGTAGGATGTATTGATTTGTGGTGGTGATTATACGATGTTGGAATTCAATCAAGTTGGAATTTGATTTTAAAATGTATGGAAGATCTAGTGGATTGATGTAACATGGTAAAGTTGGTATTTGCTTCATTAGATTATAAAGACCCGAAACTTTTATTGGCAGTTGATCATATGGTGCTGGTGGTGAGCCTATAAAAAAAAATTTTTTTTATAAGAATACTGAAAATATAGAGAAAAAAAATTTTTTTTTTGTTATTATAAAATTGATCGATTTACCTCCAACATGATCAAAATGATAATGAGTCACAATTGCACCAACCAATTCTAAATTTTTCTTTTTAATATATTTCAAAATTCCATCAACGTCCCAACACTAACAAAAATTGGAATAAAAATTTTTTATATAGTGAGTCAGAAATATTAATCATAGTAAATAAATAAATATACAAACATCAATACATATGCTATATATTCTATATAATAATTTATATACTTACAGCATCAACTACAATGCATTTTTTAGTTTCAATGTCTACAATTAAGTGAATAAGATTTTTCATATCTATAGCAAAATCATGAATTCTTTTTTGTATTGGACTTGTAATTGAGTTTTTTGTTAGACAAATGTCTCTACCAGGTACAAGCGTATATATTTCTAATCCTGATTTAATTAATTAATGTAATTGTAAATATACATGTTGGTTGGTATTAACTCAAGCAATATTAGCGTATTTTAGTAAATATTTACCCATTGAAACATTGTCCTTTAATATTAATGCCTTTGCGATTCTTAAAGATATTTGATGGTTTTGTGGATCCTAAATAATATTTAATATTAATTTATGATATTACCGATTGAAAATCATAAATATAGATTATTCACTTGCAAATATAACGGACCTTTTTTTTCGCAATATAATAATTTTCTAATGCTTCGTCATATTTTTCAAGTTGCACAAGTGCTTCTGCCTTTCTAAAATATCCCTATAAATATATATAATTTACAAATATAAATCACAACTGCTAATGATTTACACGCTATAATGTCATCAAATATCATACCTTTGGCCAATCAGGTCTGATTTGGATAACTTGGTTGGCGTCATCTACAGCTTGTTGCCATTGAGTACATTGATAATAACTTGCACTGCGATTTGAAAATATCAAAGCGAGAAAATCTGATGATGACGATGACAATTTCTTTAGATTGATGCTAGTATTATTATTGTTTAATTTTATTATCATTGATAATGCTTTGGTGAATTCAACTACAGTTAAAATAAAAATTAAAGATTAATAATAATGATAAATTAATATTGAATCAAATAGATCAAATCAAATCAGCCAAGTAATCAAATACAAACCAATTGCCAATTTAAATTCTTTTTTTGCATAATAATTATTAGCTTTATTAACTATACGAAAAGTTTTATCATCTGGTGCGTTTGGTTTAATTGGTGAAAATGAATATGGAAATGATTTTGTTTGAAAAGTTGATTTTGATTTTGATGATGATGATGATGATGATGATGATGATTTTGATTTTGGTGATATTGAAAATGATCTAAAAAGAAATTTTGGTGATAATGATGATGTTGATGATGTTGATGATGATGATGACGTTGCTGATGATCTACTAAATGATTTTGTCATTAACATCATTTTTTTATTTTTTAAAAAATTTTAGAAAAATATTTACAAAAATTTGATTAAAATGATTTTTTTATGTAATAATTTTTTTTTTGGTTGAAAAAATGAAAATTTATATTGTATGTATGTATGTGTATGTTTATATATATATATATATGAGTATGTATGTGCGTAAAATAATAATGATTTAAAATGACTTAATTAAAGAAAAATAAAAGCAAGATCATAATTTTTAAATAATTTAAATATAATATGAAAAAAAAAAAAAAAAAAGTAATTTTAAAACTCGTTTCGCGTTTTATTTATTATGATGATGTTTGATGAGGATAATTATATTGTTATTATTATGATGGAATATGAGATTATAAAAATAGAAATAAGAATAATAGAATACAATATTTTTTTAACAATAACAATTGTTTAATATTTAAGATTTGAGTTATAATAATAAAAGAATAATATTAAGATTAAGATTAAAAAATTAAAATAATAAAAGAAAAAAAAGAAGTCATTAAAAAATCATTAATTAGTTATTATTATTATTATAATTATTATAAAAAAAAGAATCAAGTTGTAAGTAGAGAAAAAAATTTTTTTGTTCAATAAATACATTTTTTTTCTTATATAAATGAAAATATATAAACTTTATTATAAATTAATTAATATAAATAAACAAAATGAGGGGAGATTTGATTTTATTTTTTTGATTAAATGGTTAGACCACACACAAATAATTTTTATCTTATTTGAATAGAAATAAATTTAGATTAATGCGATTGGAAGATTGGATAGAGTTTTCCATTATTAACTTCTTGTCATTAATAAAAGTGATTACATTGATTTACCATATTTGGTTCAATTTATAGAATAAGCACATACAAAGACTAATACGAGTGATAGAAATTATATATTTTAGGTATTTTTTCTTATGAATGTTTTTTTATTTATATTATTTGTTATGATTTGTAAGAACCAAGTTTTAATATTCACGAGTAAATTTTAATATTTTTATTTTTTTGTGTGCATAATAAATAAATAAATACACGCGAGTATTTCTAAATTTAAAATTTGTTTGTTGATCAATCAGCAACTTCTTTACTAATCATTCCGTAATGAAAAAGCTTTAATTTTATCATCAATGATGTAAACTTTATATCATAGTTCACACATGCATGCATACAATTTTTCCCTGATAAATTTTTCCGTTTTTCCCTAAAAAAACTAATAAAAATCAAAAAAGTCCTAGTTTAAATGTTGTTTATCTTTTTTCCGTTCACACATTACGCCCATGCCCGATTAATTTTTTCCTTGCTCAAAAGATCTTTGATAGATAATGAATGAATGGTTCTGGTGGGTGGACAGATTAAATATAAACGTGAGAGATTGTCTGTACCCCACAATCTCAAATATTCCTTTCTTGAAAGTATAAAAAATTTTAAATTGAAATCTTGCCAGAAAATTTTGACATGATGACGGCAATGATTATGTTATATTAACATACAAATAAATTTCAATAACAACGATATATGATGGTGTTAATGGAAACATTGGAAGATTGAAATACCAGAATAAATATACAGCATCAAAACAATTTTTCGAATTTTAATCATCCTATAGAGTGTCCGTGATCAAACTGGCTAAAATAAGGTTGATTTATTTGATTAAGAGTGCATGCATACATGCCCCCAAAAAGTATATTTTTCAAAAATTAATCTTCAAAATCGACAAAATTTTCCTAATTTAAAATTTAAATAATCACCTTCTAATTTTCTTTGTGTGGCCTGAAGTAATAATTTACAAACTACATTCATTCTTCTATTATTCTTATTCTTATGCTTGTTCTTATTCTCATTCTTATCATTCTTATTATTTTATTTAATATTAATATTATATTTCTTAGTTTTCATCTGCATTTGCATTACTGGTTTCTTCCAATTCATCACCAACTAGGAGATATTTATCAACAAATACTTGTTATAATCAATGCCAATATCTTATGATTATTGTCATTAAATCATAATATAATCTTCAGTATCCGGTAAAAAAGAAACTCAGTTGTTAGTCAAACCATCCTTTTTTATATTTATCTTTAAATATATTTATGTCTTGATTCTCTATTGGTTAAAATTTATGAAGGTGATGGATGATAATCTATAATGTAAGTATATATATATATATATTAATAGTAGCTATAATATTCCCAGAAGAACAGGAAAAGGAAGACTCGGTCTAAGATTGCTTTTTGCTAAAAATTTAGCAAATTTGTTTAACATCACAGTTGAAATCGTGTGCATAAAATTTAACGGGAGCGTATTAAACCGAATATGGAAATTATTATTATCTGCAGATTTTGTATAGATAGCATTATAGTAATAATATATTATAATTTAAACAGTAAATCAAATTTTTTGTTTAGGTAATGACCTACATAAATGGACCAATGAATCATTGGACATTCATTGTCCATTGCCAACAAAGCGCAAAAATTACCCAATGGTCTAATGAAAAAGTCATCGGACATTGTCCGTTGCAGTAATAATGAAAGTTAGATTTCTATCAGAATAGGTAATACTCACAATGGCTTTGAGTCTGAGTATTTTTCTCTCATGCAAGTAAGTGCTCTGACAAATTTTTAACTTTTATTTTATAAACTATTATTATCTATTTTTAATTAGTTAAAATAATTTTAATCCTTTGTTTCGACTTGAGCCAATCAAAATAAGATTGCGATTTATTTCGATGACCAGTTCCATAAATTTACCTTTGCATTTTTTTACAATGCGGATAATCTATACTCAAAAGTTAAAATTTTTGAAATATTATGTGATCCACACATTGGATTTTAAAAAACACAATCCAGCTTTAAAAATGGGAGTCTATTAATCTAAAAAAAAATTTTATCAGAAATGCAACAATGTTACAATATTTTGAATCTCACGATCAAATTTGGTAATGATTTTCTTTTAATGTAATATGTTCGTAAAGAACTTTTATTTACTATTACTAAAAAAGGAAATAAATAAATCAAATAAATCAAATGTATTATGTAGGCTCATTATTGAGTGCCAGGATTTTTAAGCCAATCAAAATAAATTTATGATTTGAATCATAAAATTTATTTCGATTGGCTAATTCATAAATTTATTTTAATTGGCTAATTCATAAAATTTATAAAATTTATAAAATTTATCACAATATTAAAAAAATTCTAATTGCGTCAGTAATGGCCCAAAGAAATAGACAGAGATATTCCAAAAAACAAGCAGGAATCATAGAAATTGAATCACAAAAGATATTGGATGCTTGTAAAGGAGATAAAATTCCGTCTAAACATGTCTCTGAATGGTATCATCCCCCAAAATACTCTTATCGAAGTTTAACACCAAATCCCGATGATGACTATTTATTATCAATTTTCTTTTGGCGACCTGAAAAATTCTATCACCACTATGTACCTATCATTCCTTGTATCATTGACAGTTGCAATGGGAAGGTTAAATCAAAAGGGTGGGCAGATGGGGGTGGACGATTAATTTATGGTATTAATAGAAATGTTTTACTACGTAGTTGGAGTTATACTTGTGATTCTTGTAAAATTAGCTTTTATTCTCATGATGATAGACTGTTGAGAAAATTACCAGAACATATACAACATGGTATGTTTATATATTATTAATTTATATATCAATTTCATAATTAGCATTTCCTTTTACATGTTATCAAAATCTGGGTTTACTTTAGAATTGGTTTCAGAAATTTTGTCTCTAATTCCAGATATTGGTCTTGATAAGGTTGTTCAAAGGATATGTGAGAATCATATTGATTACTATTTAAAAAAAGAGAATCATTATTATGAACATTGCATTAAGTATCAAAACTATTTATCAGCAAGTAATAATAGTGATTTCTTTGGAATGAATATTTCTATGAATAATTATGTTTTTAAAATTTTTTCAAAATTTGATGATCCAGATGAGTATCAAGGATTGTGTCCTTCTGCAACTGTTATAAGAGAATGTTTTTTAAATTACTTTGAAACTAAGTTGGAGAGTTTTATTGATATGTACATGAGAAATTTATCTGGAGAAGTTTTATCATCTGATCACACTTTCAAAGTAGCATCCTTGGTTAGGATTGCAAAAAACCAACCATTTGGTGCTTTTTGGGCTGTTTTGAATGAGTATAATGAGGTGATTACCATGGCATTTGTTAAAGATAAGTCAAATGCTTGCATAAAACCTATTCTTGAGAATCTTAAGAAACGCTACCAATTATTAAATAAAGATGATCCTTGGGCATGGTATTCAGATCAATGTTGCACTGATTGAAAGTTAATAAATTCAGTTTTTCCAAATACACCAGTAAAGAAGGACCTATTTCATTTTTTGGATCTCTATTTATGTAGTATGGGCAGAGAATCACAAAGTAACCTTTTTTATAAACAGTTTGTTAGAGAATTGCATGATATTTTTTTCATAAACAAAGATAATCAAAAAAAAATCCCACAACCAACTTTGTTAGAAGAAAGATTAGAAAATTTCATAGATAAATATAAAAATCCCAAGTTTAATATTATAAATGAAAATTTTCTCAAACAGCATAGAGGTAATTTGATTCATATTAGACTTGGATGTGTTTCTGATGTCCAGGACAAGCCTTATCAAGGGTAAGTATTTATTTTTAATGTAATAAATAAATAATTAAATAAATAATTAATTAATTAATAATTATCTTAAATTTTATATAAAATTAATAATAAATCTAAAACTTTGTATTTACGTGGAACTTCATCATTGGAACAAGCAAATAAAGCTTTTGCAACTCCTTTTAGATGTACTGCATGTGGACCTCGTATGGCTAATGCATTGTTGAAGATAACTGTCTATCGAAGAAATGTTCATATGGGGAGAGTGAATCATCAAGATAATTTCTTACTAAAGTGCAATTATAGTTATTTAATTAAAACAAAACTTAGAACATTTGAATTGATGAAAATTTTGTTTCCAACAGAACATTACGATGAATTTTTGATTTATAATATAAATTCTAATGAAACTTTTGGACTTTTGAGCAGTGATAAAGATAATTTATTAATTAATGATACTATGGAGGAAGAATTGAATGACATGGATATTATGGAATCAGGAGAAGACATGGTATCAAGCCTATTGGATTTATCTTATGATAGCAGTGATCCTATGTCTAGTAATCCATCAACAATGAATTATGATAACTTTAATAATATTTTGATTGATAATAATAATAGTAACAAATATCAATCATCATCATTATTTATTAAGGAAAGAACTCGAGGTTATGTTTGCACCAGTAATTTTAATTCCAATGAACACAGTAAATTCAAAGAACTTTACAAAAATCATCTAAATCAAATTAATGATCCTAAAAATATTAATTGGGATAAAGTATATAAATATTGGATGGATCTTGCTGATAGAAATGCAGATTCAAATTCTTGTACATTAATCCATCCTAAATTAAAAGAACATTTAAAAGAGCATTTTTCAGTAATTAATAATTTTTATTTACAAAAAAAAATAGAAGAAAGTGTAAAAGCAGGTAGAATATAGTTTTTAAATATTTAACATTAATAATGAAAGATTTTAACTATTTATTTAATTATTAAGGGTCTTCATCAACAACATCCAACTCATCATTAAATACAAATGGTAAATATGCTTCTTACTTTGGTTTTCACTAAATATCATTGAGATATCATTAATTATTATAATTTTTTACATAGTATTAAATAATAATAAGAGACCAATATCACCAGTGCCATCATCACCATTTATGCAACAGCAACAAAAACGAACATATAAAGAACCAATTTGTCATCGTTGTGGCAAAAGTAAATCTAAAGATAAAAAAGAACATCCATTAAAAAGGTATTGTCCTGATGGTGTGTTAAGTACAAAAATACATATTACATTTCCTCACGTTTGTGAACAATAACCATGTTTTCAAAATTGTAATGATAGGAATTAGAATAAAATAAAATAATTTTATTATGTACAATATTTTATTTATATTTAAATCACGAGATATTACATCAAAATCCTGGCAGGGGTTTGAGCCGCAGTCAATTCTGGCAGCCAATTACGAGCCCATTCATCTGAATTTTTTTTAGCATGGCGGACATTCGCAAATTGGTAATGATTTTCGTCGATCATATTTTGATTTTATCACGAAATTTGATTGGCCCGAATAAATTACACAAAGGTTTTAAAGAAAATTTTTATTAGACCCATCTCAGCTCTTATTTGTGTCTTTTCATTTATATCTTTGTATTCTTTAATCTTTTGCTTGATCAAAATATCGTAATTTTTTAATTGATCTTCCGATGACTTAATTCTTTCTTGTAGCTTTAAAGTTAAAGTGGAAGATAGAAAAAGAAGAATATGATATATTATATTAATATAATAATTTACAAGCTCCATTAACATTAAAACGAATGTGAGTATTATTATGATTATTATTGTTACTAGAAGGACGACAAATTGTGATAAGCAGTGGTGAATGAACGAAAACTTACGCGTCTTATTTTCCTGAACCCTCTTCTCCAGCTCTGATCAACTGGTCCACATAATCCCAAATCTGTAATAAAACATCTAATATACGGTGGACAATCTGTTGTGAAAGTCCTTCTTCGTTACCGAAAAGTCGTAACCCTTCGGACTAGACCTGTGGTGAATAGGATATATAATAAATGATATACCGTACGCTGGAACATTTATTTTGATAATGATGACATAATTACTCATTTATATATATATATATATATATATATATATATATATATATATATAGGATAGAAATATCTTCTGGTGATAATGGAGTAGATATTGAAGGATTTTTTAATATTTTTATCACTTTTATATATAATTTTTTTATTGAAACAAAAATAAAATTATAAATGTATATATATATACTAACTAAATGAACACCAGGTCCAATTCGTTGTTCGTCGAGACCAGGTATTAGTAGAGTTTTCAAAAAAACAATACTATTTTTTTTATTGTTTGATCTTTCTGTAATAATAATAAATTAAAGCTTTTTCAGAATAAATCTATATTCTAAGTCTGTTGTCATTTATATCTGAAAATTCATAGTAATAGTAATTATTAACATCAGGAAGATTGTATTGTATAATAATTATAATGTGAATGCTTTAAAAAACAATACAAGATGATTTGAAATTCCAAATAATATATACCATAATTTCAGTTTTAAACACGTAAACGTGTTGCAGTATATCAAACACACGTCAAAAAAAAAAAAGTTGGTATATAGCTTGATTTTCCTAGTACAGACCCATATATATTCTGGCAATAAAAAGCAAGCGATAAACTGATTTGAATTGGATCTGAACTTGATCTCCAATTTAGAGAGGTAACAATTATATACTGGTGAAGACAAATTTTATGTTATTTCTAATTTTTGATAGTAGATTATGCTTTTGGTTATGTTCACTTTAATGCAAATGACCAAAGAGAAAATAGTGGTCATGTGAACATTCAATATCATTAATAATTGCTATATATATTAACATTAATATTGTAATTATATATATATTAATATATATATATATATAGTAAAATTCATTGATTCCCGATTTATTCAAATGTTGTTATTATTTGTTGTTATTATTATAATATATATATATATATTAATATTAATATACCAAAAAAAATCAAGAAGCTGTGGAGTCGAAAGTGGAATTGCTGAAACCATTATTGGATGGTTTTCTTGACATTTTTTTAATTTAGATAGTAATGAACATGTAGACAAAGTCACTGACGATGATGAACAATTAACTGTTGGTTGTGAAAAAACCAGTACCAATGATGAAGTTGATGAAGACAATCCAACAAGTAGTATTGTGTATGTTCACGTCTCCGATGTTAAAAGTGATAAGAAAAAATATTTGTAATAATAATTTCAGAGGAATTGATAATTTGCTATCTGTTGCACGAAAGTGTGAAAATGTTAGTTTTCTTAATGAAAATATTATTATTACATCATTATCTTTCAAATATAAAATCTACGAGTCATCAAAACAAAAATATTTGGTTTAACTATTATACAATAAATATTTTCGTTTGCTATTACTCCTTAAACATTGAATCTGATTATAAAAGCGTTTGCACAATTCTTGATTTTTGTGCGCAGCGACTGCCAATAAGAAACAACTTGTTTCTATTTAAATCAATTGAATTAGAGCCATCGCAAAATATACAAAGATCGATAATCGATATTATCACTTTGGGACACACAAATGTCCGTCATTCATAATATTTATAGGGATTAAGATCTAAAGAATCCTCATTTTCAAAAAGAAATCGCCATAGTATGAAGATATTGACGTTCCAAAATACATATCCGGACCATGCAGAAAAAACTTAAGATCCTTTGGCAAGGAGAAAAATGGGACACAAAGCCAATAGAGCAACATCTGTTTTTCTGTCAGAAGTGGTTTTAAATCAGCAATTCTGGAGAAAATCTTAAGCTCATATAAATTTCTGTGAAGTTTCAACTCCTCAATATGATTTTTTTTGAATTATATTTATTGACAAAAATTTAGATAATTCCAAAGGTGCGAACTGCATTTTGCGGTTTAAGTTGCTTAGAGATATCCTTTTGTTACCTCCGTGAGAGTCTAAAATTTTTCCTCGCATAAACTCTTCATTTTAAAGAAAATTCTTTTTTGCAAACTTCATATGACATGAATGAGATAGTTCAATACTAAATATGTTGGGTTGGTTGACAGGAGATAAAAAATGCATAGTCAAAGATCGGTTACAAATATTGTTTATTATTTTTTTTTAAAAAAAAAAGGAAAATAATAAATGAAATTGAAAGTCAGGAAAATGTATAATGGGCTCGTTTTACAATTTAGGATTGATGAATTTGGCCATGACTTTATACCCTTCCCGCGCTTTCCTTCGGGAGATAGAGCGATAGTGCGTAATGAGAAACTAGTTTTCACTTGGAACTTTCCTTCAAGAGGTATCATCATCCTAAATTCATTTGAAAATTATTTCATTCAACTAATTTTCACGATAAAATCATAGAGAAGCATACGAAAAGAATTATTTTATGATCTTTTAAGGAAACAGGGTGTACGAAAATAAAAATATATTTATGGAACAATTGTAATATTGTAGCGATTCTTATAAAATTATTTAAATCTTAAAATTAGTGTTGAAGATTATAAAGTAAATATTAATATATTATTAGAACATTAATCCTAACATAAAATAAAATAAAAATTAATAATGATGTTGAAATCAAGTTGTGAATTAGAAATTGCAAGTGGTGTTATGCTAATTTATAAATTTACAGTATATTCAATCATTCAATAGATAAGTTTTATTGACTTTTTCGCCAGTTGGGAGAATTACTTTATGAGTAATTATTTTAGAGCTCCTGGGATTGGATATAGAAGTCTGATTATTGTTTTCATTAATTGTAATTAACTGGTCATTCTGAATATTTGATTTATCATTATCATTATCATTGTTATTATTATTATTATTCAAAATTATGCTACTATCTACTACAGCTTCAGTATTACTATCACTATTATCACTATTGGTATATTTGTAGCTATTATCATTGTTTGAAATGATTTCAATATTACTAGTATTAAATTCATTTTTATCTTCATTTTTAACCATTTCATTGGATTTCTTTTTTCTTCTATATAAAATAAGAATAGCAATAAAAGTAATAATGAAGATTGCACCAGGTACAACTAATCCAATAGTTATAGGTAGCTTAGCACCACTAGTAGTGTTTGAAGAATCTTGTCCAAAATTATCAGAATTTGTTGCAGAAGTATCTGTAGAGGTTTGTGATGGTGCTGGTGTCATAGAAGTTGATGTTGGAATCTTAGGTGTATATGTTTCCAACCATGTATAGGTTGTAGAATCAAGTATAAATATATTTGATGATACTTTACCTAACTAATATAAAATAAAACATTTTATTTTTAAAATTATATAGATATATGATAGGTATATAAATAGATATGAAATAGATATAGTAATATTTTTACTCACCATAAATCCTATGTAATAATTTGTTTAAAAAAAGTTAATAAATAATTAAACTAATAAATTTATTTTCTGACAATTATTATAATTATTTACCATATGTAATTATAATATTAGTTCCAACCAATGTCATTGTATGATCAAACAATCCTGGTGGTTTAGCTATTCCCACAGGTCGGATAGTTTTCCATGTCAGTGTAGTTGTATCAAGTTCTAACAAATCATCATAAACAGTTGATGCATCAAAATTACGACCACCATAAATAATAATTTTCTTGTCTGTTGCTAATTATAAACAGGAAGAAAGATATAATGTGTTGATAGATATGCATGTAAATAATCAATTAATTTTGCTGAAAAGATATTTAATATTTGAAAACTTACTTCCAACAGCTCGATGACCTATTCTTTTAGGAAATCTATCACCTAAAGCAGTCTAAACATTTAAAATAAAATTATTTAAATTTAATAATTAAATTTAATAGTTATAATTATGATTACAATGTAATGAATGTAATGTAAAAACATTTAACCTTTGAGGTCCAAGTATCTAGATTAGTGTCATAAATAGTAATTATATTCATGTCTGATAGGGGAGGGGGACCTGTACCAACCACCACATTACTAATACCACCAATAACATAAATGAGATTATCACTTAGTAAAGTTGAAGTATGATGAGAAATTCCATTTGGTAAAACACTTATTGCTGACATTTTAAATATGTTTGTTAATGAATCATACACACATAATGTATTTAATACATTACTGAGATCATCATTTGAAACAACAGGTGAAGATCCACCTAATATAAAAACTTTTGAATCATATTTGGTGACTGAGGTGTGTAGCACACGATTAGTACATTCTGTTGTAACTGCTTTAGAAGCTAATGACTTGCTTGTTGTATCAAAAATATATAATGAATCTGGGAGTGCCTTCCCATTTGACATGCCACCAAATATTATTAATGAATTGTTATTTTGACCTCCAATTGACATACTGTGAAATGCAACAGGACTATCTGCTGTTAATGGATTCCATACTGGTTTTTTTGGATCAAAGTTTACTGATACATCCAAATACAATATATCATTTGTGTCAATGCCAGTATCAAACTCAGGTTTAAACTCAGGTTTAAACTCAGGTTTATCCGCAGTTAATAATCTACCTCCATAAACATACAAACTTTTTTTGAAAGAGAAATAATTAAAAAATATTGAAAATAATTTTTGAAATGTATGTGTTTAACTTACTATTTTTCACCCACTAATGTGGCTGCATGACCCCTATTATTATTATTATTATTATTATTATTATTATTATATTATTGTTATAAATAAAATATTATCTAGTTCACTTACCATCTTTTTTCAACTGGATCACAATTGACCAATAAAGAGCCATTTAACAAAATTATTGATAAAATAATGATAAAATATTTTATTTTAAAAATCATAACATTCATTGTCATTGTGATTATTATGATTATATTGTTTCTTTAAAAAATTTTTCTTTGATGAATCTGTCATAAAATACAGATATGGATTTGAACTAAAAATGGATCCTCAATAATAATACAGTCGTGCGCAAATATTTGCATAACACTATTCAAATTGATGTTGTTCTCTGTGTAAAACGTCTTTTCTAAAAACCAATCATTTTGCCACCTGATATAATAATAAAATCAAATGAACTCAAAAGCTTTGACCGTGTTTCTTCTGTTCACCATAATTCACTGCAGGTGTTGCTTCTCAATTACTTTAATAAATGATTCAATGCTTGGTTGCTGATTTCAATATAGCATTGTTGATATGGGGTTAGTGTTGATCGTCAAAACTATTTTGAAGAGGCGAAGGTCAAAGCTAAAATTAAAAGTTATATGTCAAAACTAAATCAAAAGTCAATAGTCAAAAATCAAAACTAATTTCGACTTGTGGCGAAACCTTTTGACTTTCGCATGGTTGCGAAACTCTCTAGTTTTGGAAACCAACACTATATGGGGTGCAAACAGCAGAAATGAGTCAAATTTTTTGTTACAATAACAAAATCTATTGCAGTTGCAAAAGTTTGATTAATAAAGCCAAGAGTATTTTGCAAGTTTAAATTGTCTTCTATAGCATCAATTCTTTGATTAAATGAATTGTCGAAAGGACCAAATCTTATTATTTCACCATAAAAAACTCGTAATTATGTTTAAGTGATTTGTTATATAGATAGCAGAAAACATGACAATATTTGAATTGGTATTATTATTATTTCTTGCAGTTGCCTGAAATTTTTTGCTATTCCTATAAAAATTGAATTATCGTAAAAAAAGCTCATTATCATATTTTGTGAATAAGATTAATATCAAAGAATAAAAATGACACTGCAATCCGAAACCGAACCGAAAATTCGGGTTTCGGTTTATATTTGACCCAAAATTTTAGACATCCTAAATTCATCAACTATGCAAAAATATACATAAAAAAATCATAATAACTTGTAGCTTAAGCAAAAGACAAATATTAAATTGATCCCTGTAATTCTGGAAATACCAATGTTCACTTTGGTTTTGTTGCAATATGACAATTTATAATTCTGTAATTTGATCAACGAAATGTGCGCATCTAAATTTTGTGCGTGAATTTGAAATTCACGCGCGTGAAACTCAAATTAGCCAATCAGAATTTTGTATATATACGTATATCCAAACACCCAAATTTAATTAATATTAATATTAATAATAATAATACATATGTAAACTCGATAAGTCGGTCATGTCGGGGAGGACCCCTGTAACCGACTTATTATTATCGAGAGAACCGAGTTATAGAATTTCACGTGATTTTTTAAATTTAAAATTTTTTAAAATATTTATTTATTTATCTTTTATCTCAAACATTAGGAGGTTGCAAAATCAATCTTTTATACATATTTCTGAACATAATAAAATTTAATAGGAATACAAATGTATTTCTTCACACTAGATAATCAATTATATAAGTGATGATATAATAAAAATGATGATAAAAATGAGATAAATAAATACAGATGTATTGTTTGTGATTAGACAAGAATGTTATCTAAATTCTTGATGAGATAATAATATATTAATGCCTTATTCATGATAAATTAATGATACAGTTGATGATATAACTGCTGAGATAATAAAATATTAATGTATTATTCATGATAAATCATCAAATGATTAAAAGTCTCTTGTTAAAATGACTTGACAAGAAAAAATGGATGTGTGATTATGCATTATAACTGATGGAGGCAATAAAATATGAATGTAGTTCACAAGTGAGAATGCTCTCTTCCTTCTAATTATAAAAAATGAACAATAAAAATGGTTTTTTTACATCAGATATTTTATTACAAATAATCATTTTGCTAACGACGATTACGAATAAAAAAATTATTAAATCACACATTACTAAAATAGTAATGATAACCCTTCACATAGTGAAATATCACGTGAGACCGACTTATCGTGATTCATTTAATTATACTTGGGCTAAGTGATTGACCGACTTAGCGCTTATCGCGACTTTATATAGATCGACCGACTTATCGAATTTTTTTAAATAGTAATAGTAAAAAAAAGGGGCGAAACTTTTTGGCCGAGTTAGGCCAAAACCGACTTATCGAGTTTACATATGTAATAATAATAATAATAATAAATTTCTAATTGACACAAATTTGATTTTGACTCACAACATATTAATATTAATATATATATATATATTATAATTATAATTAGGGATGTTAAATGGTCCGACCGGTCCGGCCCATGTCATCTTATTTAATATTAAGACGGATCAAACTGAAAATGGACTGAAAAAGAACTGCAGACGCCGGTCTTTTAGGACTGTTCAACATCCCAATTACTATATTAATATATTAATATATATTATATAAATGAAATTATTATCACATGATTTCGAAAGCTTTCTATATATCAATAATAAAGAGGGTCATATTGTCTCCTTTAATTTGGTTGTGGTTAACAATTACTTTTAGCGAAGCCTCTAGTATTAGTAAAACTAAAAATGCAATGGGCTTAATGACACATAAAATAACCTTTATTTTGTAAAATTTGATTTGCAAGCTTTATAGATCAAGCCCGCCTATATACCTATTGAATAATTGATAAACATTCATTTGCAAAACTTGATTTGCAAGCTTTGTAAATTTAATCTAAAATTTCTAATATATATATATAGAATAAAAATTATCTAATCAAAACATTTGAAGAAAAGACATCATTAATATATTGATTAATAATTTTAATTTATAATTTCTTTTGTCTTTTGATTTTGATTCTGATACAATCATCTTGTGAACCACGTTTTGCGACTGGCATTATCACAGGTTGATGAGAGAATGAGGAGACTAAAGTACAAATTCTATAATCACCGGGCGATAAACCTTTTACTTTAACTGATAAAATTCCATTTTTATCTGGTTGATCCAATCCTTTAAAGAATGCAAAATCCTTTGCATCAGGTAAATTATTACCATCAAGTTTTTGTATGGTAACGTGAGAATGTCCTTTGATCACGCCATTTTTCAACAGTTGAGGTTCGGCATAATATTTTTCGTTTGGATCGGTGAAGAAGCCGGTTATTAAATTTGAAGTTTTTGTTTTAACTCTAAATGATTGTTGTGATTTTAGTATTTGACCATTAATTGGTTCTATTATTAACGTTGATGGCATTTTATTGACAGATGGGATTTCTCCTTGTATTGTTTGTGAGCAAGATCCTTGACGAAATTGTTGACCGTTTGTTAATTTTTTGTTTTTACATAAATTATTATTAAGTTTTTTATCTCCAGATACTATTATTATGGAAGAGATGGCAATTAAAATAATGAAGAATAAATTAGGTTTCATTTTGAAAAATTATTTGGATGCACCAGGCACTTGATTCCCCAACATTAATTTAAAAGAGATATATATACACTTCCTGGTCATAAATATAAGGACACTTGCAGATCATCGGAAATAATTGAATAAAGAAACATGAAA